AGCGTTAAAAAAAAAAAAAGAAGGATCTCTTACCCTTTGAGACAGCATGGAGGGACCTGGAGGGTAGCACGCTAACTGAAATAGCCAGTCAGAGAAAGACAAGCATCACATGACCCAGTGCATGTGTGGAATCTAATGAACACGGTAAACTGAGGAACAAGATAGATCCAGAGACAGGGAAGCTTGCCACAGACTGCGGATTCTCAGCGGGAAGGGGGTTGGGGAGGAGATTAACCGAAGAGCTTAGATGCACATATGCACAGTTCATGGACACAGACAATAGTGGGGGGGAGGCCTCGGGAAGGGATTGAATTAGGGAGGAAGGGGTCAATGGGGAAAACAGCGGGACATCTGTAATACTTCCAACAGTGAAGACAAATTTAAAAAACGCACAGTTAAAGTGGCGTGAAGAGTTCTAGGAGAGCCTGGGGAGACCCCTTCACCAGGCCTAGACCTCAGTCGCACCTTTGTCCCCTAACATGGTCTGTCAGCCTTTAAGGCCCGCCATGCTGGGGGCAGGGTGGTACACAACACGGCTCCTGCTCCAAGTGCCTCCACCTTGTGACGTGGCTAAGAGAAGCAGGAACAAAGTCTTTAAAGGCATTTCCAAGAACTCAGCCTACTTATAACCGGAATAATTCTGCATGAGAAAAGTCGCATCATCCTCCAGCTCTTTCAGTAAATACCAGATGAAGGCGTTTTTGTCTACCTTGGTCTATTGCCAGGACTGTGACGTTGTAAAAGTCGTTCCTGGGGGTGGCGGCCTCCCTGTCCAGAATTTTGGAAGTTTGGATGGACCCCGAAATTTCATCAATGGCGATCCACCCATTAGGATCGTGCAACTTTTTGTACCTGTTAATAAAAAATGTATTAAAATCGCAGTCTAAAATGTATTAAAGTAAGTGACTGTCTCAATGGCTTCAACTGCATGTCAGTGCGTGGGTATAGATGTCCGTGTACCTTATCCCGCTGCTACTCTTGGTTTCGGGGTCATAGGCCTTGTAGCCATCCATCCTGGACCCCACGGCCAAGTTCTCCTTAATCCGCACATACTGGGCAGCAGGCTTGCATTCAGGCCCTTCGTCCTGGTTCCTCACGTGGACCGTGACCACAGCTCTGTTGGTGGGTGTCCTCAGCGCCAGGTCTCTAGTAAAAGGGGCTTCGTTGCTCACCCCAATTTCCAGGACCACTTTGTGGTTTTCTTCATAATCCAGTGGCTTTAAAAAGAAACACAGGTACTCAGGCTGAGTGTACAACACATCTGGTATTTCAAGCAGCATGGGAACTTGTGTCAACACAAACAGTGTCGCCCGTTCTCCAGGGTCCAGGTTAGTCAATATTGACTTTTACCTTTTGCTAAAGAGGGAGGAATTATTCAGTAGGCCTTTAGCCAGAGGGGTCCCAAAGTTCCTGCAGGGGCTTACAGAGTTATGAAAAAGCAATTCTTTAAATACTTACATGCTTCATTCTCACTAAAAATATTATTCTGAACCTGGAGATAATGCAAAAAAAAAAAAATGGCCGTATTGTATGGCCCTGCTTTCCTTCCTCCCGCCCGTTCTCCCAGCATTCCAACTAAAACTTTCTAAACGCCAACAACACTGATTTCCTTACTGCCCCAGGACTTTCCTCCTTTCATGCCTATATATTAATGAATTAGTGATTCAACAAACATTTATTAAGCGGTTAGAGTCTACTAAGCACTGGGCCAGGTACTGGAAATACAAAAATAGACTGCAATGTCTTGAGAAACTCGTGTATACGTTGGAGGAGAAATGTAAACGATGACAGTACCACATGAAAGGCACTATAACAAAGGTAGCAGTGTCCCTGCTTCTACTCCCAGAAAGACTTCTTAGACGTGCGGAATCATGTCTTCCTTGCTAATCTCTATACACACCCCAGGGTCAGCAATAGTGCCTGGGAGATAGTAGGTGCTCTATGACAGAACAGCATACAGAAAAGTCCAATTACATGAGAGAACATGACATAGCAACAAAGAAGCAGTGAGTCATGGCTGAAGTACAGGCCACACTCCTCAGAATCCAGTCACAGACCCTGTCAGAGGCTCCAGCACCAGGCCTCTGTCCATATCCCACCCATCCCCTTCCAAACTACCGCCAAGTGCCTGGCCCTGACCCCAGACTCCTCACTTCCAACCACATTCAAACTGCCCACCGTCCATCCCTCTTCCCCTCCCTGGAGTTGCTTAAAAACAGCAACAACACTTGAGTGATAAGCTGCCCGATATTTTAACACAGCAATTTTGTCTTCTTTGTCAAAGTAAATTTTGCCACCTTGAAAATTACTATTTCTCTCATTTTGTGTACAATATATAACATAGGCCCCCTACAATATTTGTACAAGGTTGTTAGGCTTTTAAAATCTGTTAATAAGAATCAATGGTACATGTTTCCTGTGAGTAACCAAGTACACCCATCCTCAGTTGTTTCAGGGCAGATAAGTGAGTTTTTGAGTGAGTACCATTAACTTTGGAGAGGGTCCATATTTTGTTGACCTCTGGAGACGGGTTTGCCAGGCTGAAGTAAAATGGAGCGCCGTGGATAGGCTCATCGGCGTCAAAAGCTGAAATGTCAGCGTACCCCATCTTCGGTTTGCAAATTGTCACATAGTCTTGGCGTATTTCTGGCGCATTATCATTCACATCTTCGATGCTCACGGCAAGTGTTCCAGTGCACGATTTGCCGTCTAGGAAGAAGGGCAAGAGGTTTAGTGTAATTTGTCAAGTCTTTTATAGTTTCTTAAGAATAGAATCAAATAGAAACTAAATAGGATATATGGTTTTTAAATCAACTCCTGGTTATTAAAATAAATGATAAATAAGAAATCCTAGCCCTGGCTGGCTTGGCTCAATGGATAGAGCGTCGGCCTGCGGACTGAAGGTACCCGAGTTCGATTACAGTCAAGGGCACATGCTTGGGTTGCGGGCTTGATCTCCAGTGTGGGGCGTGCAGGAGGCGGCCGATCAATGATTCTCTCTCATCATTGATGTTTCCATCTCTCTCTCCC